CGAGTGAGGCTGACGAATAGAGCAACTCTCCCTAACTTCAAACAAAATGCAGCTCAAGTCAAGGCTAGTACTCAAGTCAAGGCTACTACTCAAGTCAAGGCTAATACTCAAGTCAAGGCTACTACTCAAGTCAAGGCTACTACACAAGTCGATAATTGCCTTGGTCATCTTCACGTGCTTAGGCAGCACACTAATAAAGTTGTGTGAAACAATGTTGTGAATCTACTTGTTACATCATAAATATGTGTGAAACAATGTTGTCAATTTTCTTGTAACATCATCAAGTTGTGTGAAACAATGTTGTCAATTTTCTTTTAACATCATAAAGTTGTGTGAAACAATGTTGTCAATTTTCTTTTAACATCATAAAGTTGTGTGAAACAATGTTGTCAATTTTCTTTTAACATCATAAAGTTGTGTGAAAAAATGTTGTCAATTTTCTTTTAACATCATAAAGTTGTGTGAAACAATGTTGTCAATTTTCTTATAACATCATAAAGTTGTGTGAAACAATGTTGTCAATTTTCTTTTAACATCATAAAGTTGTGTGAAACAATGTTGTCAATTTTCTTGTAACATCATAAAGTTGTGTGAAACAATGTTGTCAATTTTCTTTTAACATCATAAAGTTGTGTGAAACAATGTTGTCAATTTTCTTGTAACATCATAAAGTTGTGTGAAACAATGTTGTCAATTATTTTTGTAACATCATGTCTGTTCTGTTTTACTCAGGCTAAAAATCTGTACCCCACCCCACCCCTTCTAAATTTAGCTTTTGAATATCCCAGCCCACGACCTCACAGTTCCAGTTCACTTTGTCTCAAGGCAAGTTCAAGTACAAGTTGTTTGGTGAAAAAAGGGAAACAAGAAGAGAAGGACAAAACAAGGGAGAAAATAACTGATACATTTTTTCTAATTTAAAAAAAAATATTAGCTCCTTTTAATTCTAAAGTTTCAATTTGAATAGTATGTAACCACGAGGTTCAGAATTGGTACAGCATATGTTTCCAAACATTGTAGGGGCGGCAATCGTTTGTGTGTAGGGGTGGCAAACATTGGTGTGTAGGGGGGCGGCAATCGTTGGTGTGTAGGGGTTGGCAATCGTTTGTGTGTAGGGGTGGCAATCGTTTGTGTGGGGGTGGCAAACGTTGGTGTGTAGGGGCGGCAATCATTGGTGTGTATCATAAGAAATCTGTTGACGATTGTAAAAAACAACTGGGTGTGATAAAAGAGACGGCACGTAAGTTAACACTGAGTCTCACACAAGGGCCAGGGAGTCAGTCAAAAACAATTGATGAACAACAGAGTTTGATTTTGGAATTAAAAAAATGATTTTAAAAAAAAAGCTTATCATTATTATTAATATTATATACTAGCCAATTTACCCGGCGTTGTCCGGGACTGCATTCGGAAAAACAACACCTTCTAGAGCGTTTTAATTAACATTGAAATTAAGCGCCTTGTAAAAAAAAAAAAAAAACACCCCCAGAGCAAAAAAAATGAAAGAACTAATTTGTCTCCGGCGTTGTCCGGGACTGCATTCGGAAAAACAACACCTTCTAGAGCGTTTTAATTAACATTGAAATTAAGCGCCTTGTAAAAAAAAAAAAAAAACACCCCTAGAGTAAAAAAAATGAAAGAATTAATTTGTCTTCTATAAAAACACATTTAAAATAACTTTTGTAAATCTTTCGTTCCCCGATGGAATCCCGATCCCAGAGGGTTCCAATCGGATCCCGTTTTCCGATGAGGTACCGTTTTCCGATGGTATCCTGTTATCCAGAGGGACCCCGGAGCCGTTTGGATATCAAGCCCGGTTGGATCTCGATCC